GTTCTGAGAAAGAGGCGCCCCGTGGTTTCCGGGCTGTCCTCTGCCAGGCCCAGGGGCTAAACTCATACCTGGTTTGCTCAGTGGTACTGGGAAGCCAGCCCCGGGGTTCGAGGAGCCCCTCCTCTGTCTAACCCACCGTTGGTCTGAGGAGGAGGTGCCCCCCTGGACGGGTAGTGGCCGTCAGGGGTTTGAAGCCACCAGATGCTCCCTGGCCCAGCAGAGATGCAGGAGGGAAGCACGTGTGGTTCTGGAAGCTGGAGAAAGCACCGGAAACAGAGGCCAGGGCCAGCAGAGGCCAGGGCCAGCAGAGGCCAGGGCCAGCAGGCCTGGCAGCTGCGAGCGGGGCCGGAGGCAGAGGGGGAGCTGGGAGACAGACTTACAGATGCCCAGCGCCAACAGACATTGCCCCTGGGCAGGGGTTCAGGGGGCACAGTGGACAGCTAGGTCCATGCTGCCCTCCTGGAGCTGAGAGGCAGCCAGGTCAGCAGCACCTGGGGCCAGGGTTGGCTTGGCCCTGGGGCCTCTGGGGCTAGTGTAAGCCCGAGGGCCCAAGTTTGAGTCAGGACCTATAGGACCCGAGGAGCCACCAGCAAAGCGGGAAAGAGCCATGCAGGTCGCAGCCTGCCCCTGAGGCTGCGGACACCCCTGTGGAGCAGAGGAGTGATGGGGGGCAGGCAGGGCCACAATGAGGCTCGCTATGGGGCCACCTGGGAGCCACATCACGGTGGCTCTGAGCCTCTGTCTCCTCCCACCCAACAGCTGTGAGCAAGGTCAAGGTGGGCTGAGAGTGGCCATGCCTTTAGGAAGCGGCAGGCTCAGCAGACTGGCTGTGCAGGGCCGGGCCTCATGCAGGCTGAGGTGGTGGGACCCAGTGACACCAGGGAGCCAGTTCTCAGGAAAAAAGCCACCCCTCACGGGCCTGGTTCCTGAAAGCCCCCTAGCAGCACCGGTGCAGGGGCGACTGTGACTAGGGGCTGGAGAGGAACGAGGTGTCAGGAGGCCTCTCCGTGGGATTCTGAACTTGGTGGGGTGTAGGGTGGTGGCAGTACCCTGGAGGGGACCTGGGGTTGGGCAGGGGCTGGTGGGTAGCTCCGGGCTGGGGTAGACGACACGTGGCCCCCGAGGCCGCAAACACAAGTCATCCCCAGAACACTCACTGGGGGCAGGAGGGAGGGCGGAGCAAAGACTGGGCATTCGAGCCACTTTGCCTGGCCCCAGGCCTGCCTTGCTGCCTCCCAGGTACGTGACCTTAGGCAAGTCACACAGCATGGCTGAGCCTGGAATGAGGAAAAGACTCGCAGGACAGATGGGGTACAGACTCTCACTCCAGCCTGGCCCGCAGCCCTGGGTCAGTGCAGAATTGGGGGTTTGAATCTGCCGGCTGGCTGCAGGTGGCAGGACTGTCCCCTGCCTGTGGTTCAGCTTGCTGCCTCTGCAGACAGCCTGGGGGAGAGGGCTGGCAGAGAGTCTCACAGCGGCGCCCCTCCCTTCGCTCACTGGCCACTGCTCTGTGGTGGTGACCGGTGGTGGCTACTCTCCTTCGTGTGACAGGAGACTGGTGCCGTGCCTCCGAGGTGGAGTCGGAGTCATTTCTAGGAGCTCTGCAGCGCCGGGGCTGCTGGGGGGAGTGCTGGCTGGGTTGGTGGGGCTGGGGTGGGTGGGCTGCTCTGGCTGGCTTCTGTGTGCCCAGCACCTGGCGCCCCTCAGGGGGACAGCAGAGAGCAAAGCAATGGCCTTAGGTGGGAACGGATCAGGACAGGCACTGCCCCCAGCCTGCAGGGAGGAAGCCCAAGGTCAAGGCCGCAGGAGGTTCAGGTCATGCCCAGCCTCTTGCTGCTCCTGGCAGTGGCAGTCCAACTGTGGCCAGCAGGGGCGGTGGGCAGAGGCAAGTCAGCCCCTCCCAGCTCTGTTGGGAGGCTCCCGCCCTGTCTTGAGCGCAGAGCCCTGTGACTTAGCCCTCCTGCAAGGCCCCGCCTCTTCCTGCCATCACCTTGGCTGTTGGGCTCCAACACATGTATCTTGGAGGCCTGTGGCCGGGCATTTCTTCTCCAGCCATTAGATCCCTGCCTGTGCAACACAGAGAGGCTTGAGGGGTCTGGGAGGACGGCGGAGATGCCACCTGGGTCTTGTTTAATCCCATTTTGCAGGTGGCATAACTGAGGTCAGGTCACCAGCACAGTTAGGCCCCTGCCAGGTTCAATGAGCAGGAGCCAGGGCCAGCATCCTGGGAGGCCCTCCCTGGACATACAGGTGAGCTGGCCCAGGCCACCAAGCCACCACTACCAGGATGATGCTAGCCACTCGGAGCCCAGAGCCAGAATGGGAGCCCTCAGCCCCTTCCTGAGCCCTGTAGGTCACACACAAGTGGCCCAGCCCAGCCCACATGCTGGGGACACCTCCAATCTCTCTTGTTGCTGTTATCTGACAAACCGGGCTGCTCCTGGGGCCTCTGGTGACTCCAGCATCTGGGTCACAGTGTTTCTCCCTTAGAGGACACCTGTCACTTCAGAATGGTAGATGCGCCCTCCATCCCCTTGGCCAATACCCACCTCAACCACCCATACATGGCCGCCCTGGTAGTGCGGTCCCTCCCTCCTTCCCCATGACGAGTCCTGCCCTGCAGCCTGCTGAGGTATGAAGCACATGGCGTCACCTCACACCTGCCCTGCCCTCCTGCCCCAACCTAGCCTGTGCTCAGCCACTGTCCCTTCTCTCCTGCTCCAGCACCGTCCCCAGCAAAAGCCCAGCCCTGACGAAGCCCAGGGGCCCAATGGGCACTTCGTCTTTTCCCTTGAGAAAGGAAATGGCAGGCAGCCTGGTCCCAGGCTCCTCTGGGCTGAGGAAGGAGGGCCTCAGCCTGGGTCCATCGCTGCCTGATAAACTGCCCTGCCCCAAGGGATGTGTGGAGCGGCTCCCCAGCGTCCAGAGCAAGGTTTGTGCATCACAGGCCCGCGATGCTGGCTGGTGACTGCAGATGAGTTTCCTTCTATGGTTTCTTCCACTTCATCTTGATGGGGCACCGGGAAGGGCTTGAATGACACATTTATCGTCATTGTGTCTTTAAAGATGGAGTCTGAGGTGACAGTGGGCGAGGGGCAGGTTTCTTAGCACAGAGAGTCCAGTCTCAACCCCATGCGAATGCTCAATGTCTGGCAAGCTCCAGGACCCTTCCTGTTCAAACTTGATGGGTGCAGGGGCTGAGGGCCTCTTCCTGGGGGGCTTGTCGAACCATACAAGAGAGACTCCAGGCCAGGTTCAATTAGCAGTGATTTTGTGACCCAGGATTCTGGGGGGTCCTGGCTTACCTCCTCCAGATCACCCTCCAGTGGACTTCCACACCAGTGCTACAGAGAGGAGTGACGTTGTGGGATTCACAATGGCCAGAGTCCATGTCCACGCTTTCCGGAGGTTGCCATGCCCTGACCTCAGTTTTCTCTCCTGATCATGACAGCAACCTGTAGTATTAGTGACTTTGTTTTAAGGTTGAGGAAACTGAACCCCCGTTTTTTGGCGAGAATTTTTAAAAATTGTGGCAAAACTCACCACTTTATCCACCCTGAAGCGTCCCATCCCATGGCCCTTCCTACGCCCACAGCGGTGCATGACCGTCACCACTGTCTAGCTCCAAGACATTTTCATCACCCCAAAGGAAACTTCCCGTTCCTCTCCCAGCCACCCCTGGCAACCGCAGGCCTGCGCTGGACGTCTCATAGACACGCGGTCATGCAGCAAGCAGTCTTGGGTGTCTGGCTCCTTCCTTGGCCCATGTCTTCAAGGCGTCCTTGCTGACCCTGGTGAGGACTCCTTGCTTCCAAAGGCTGAGCTGCCAACTCGTGCAGTGGGGCCTCCGACTCGTGGATCTGTGAGTGGACACTGGGCTTTTCCCACCTTTCGGCTGCTTTGAACGATGCCGAGGCCGTAGGTGCACAAACGCCGGAGTCCCTGGTCCTCTTCTCTGGGTCTCAGCTAGGAGCGGACGGCTCTGCTCACTTGGAGCGACTTCTCCACCGCTTCCCACACAGATGACGGGCCACGCTTGCAGATAGGTGGCAGAGCCTGACCTTCTCTGGCCACACCCCATCCCAGCCTCCTGATTGGCCCTTTTGCTCGGCCCCTCCCCAGCGGAGCTGTGCCCCACCCTCCGGGAAGGCTCCTCAGGAAGGGGATGCTGCCCACCTGAACAGGTCTGCAGGAGGGAGAAGGTGCTCCCTGAGCCTGGAGGAAGGCTGAGGAGAGAGTCCTAGCAGGCGTATGCATGGCAGCAACAGAGTGCTGGTGGCTGGCACAGTGGCCCCTGTAGTTAACGTGGCAGGGCCTGGGTTGTGGTTCACGGCTTGGCTCCTTGCTGAGTGCTGACCTGAAGGGACTCACTCGTCCCTGTGGTGACCCCGCCACACAGATGCACAGGCTGAGGCTCCCGGAGGCCAGCTTCATCACATGGCACCACAGAGGCTCTGGAGGCAGGCGCCTGACCACCAGGTCATGCAGAGTCCCCACGGTGGCCCCACTCAGGAACTGGGCTCCAGGACACAGAGTAGCTAGCTCACACCAGGGCCGGGAAGGGTGGGATTTGCACTTGGGCCTGGCCGGCTTCTTCACTCCCTGGTCACACTCGGCATCCCAGCCGGGAAACGGGAGATGGAAAACCTCCCACTTCCTGCTCACAGACACCCGCTGTGAGTTCAATGAGGGGACTGCAGCCTTCTAAGGACAGCTACAGGAAGCTCAGACACGGAGGGCAGGTACAGCCCTGTCCCCAAGGTACACAGGGAAGGCACATTGGTAGGAGACAGGGTGGAGGATGCTGGCCCCAGCTCTGGGCTGGACCCTCTGTCACCCCAAGCCTCTTTCCTTTGGCTGGGCTCCCTCCCTGTAAAGAGGGAGTGGGGACCCCCAGGCCCACCGAGAGGCTGCGCCAGCCTGCCTCTGGCCCGAGAGCCAGGAGAGCTGGCCCAGCTGAGAAGCCACTAATTGTCCCTTCTGTTTCTCATTGTTTGAAGAGACACTTGTCACCTGAGGAGTTCCAGGAGGTGTTTGGGATGAGCATCGAGGAGTTTGACCGCCTGGCGCTGTGGAAGAGGAATGACCTCAAGAAGAAGGCCCTGCTGTTCTGACGGCCGCCAGCCCTCCCCACGGACCGCGCCAGGGCAGCGCCGAGGAGCCCCCGCCAGAGCCACACACCCTTTACCCCACACCTTGCCGTGGCTTCTCTGTGTCAGTGGGACGGGTGGGGGCCCTGGGGGAAGCTGGGCTGGGCAGGAGGAGGGCCCCAGGGGGCACAGCCCCTGGCGTGCGGAGAAGCGCCTGCTCTAGTTTAGGGCCACGACCCCTGGCTTGACTCTGCCCTTCCCAGGGGCCGCTCAGCTTCCGGGCCGATCACCCAGACAGGGGTGGCCCACCTTTGGGCATCCCCAGAGTGCCTGGCCCTGGGGTGCAGAGGTGGCCAGGACGCGGGCTGTGAGAGGCTCTTCAGTGACAGGCGCTGTTAGAGCCAGGTGGCCCCGCCTGGCAGGCCGCAGACTCACAGGCCAGGGCAGGAGAGCAGAAGGAGAGCCAGGGGCAGAGCCCAGCGCTGGGTGTGCGAGCTTTACACCTGTCCCTGACGGCTCTCTTCAGGAAGGAGCGTCCACGGACAGGGTGCCACCGAGCGCTCCAGGCACGGCTCCCTCCAGCCACCCCCTGAGGCCTAAATGAGACCTTTCAAGTAACACAGAAGTCTTTATTTTTAAAAAAGTATAGCTTACTTACACACAGGATGACACCCGCGCAGAGTGTAGTTCTAGTCCCGGTAAAGGGGAGCATCTCTGCCTTACGCCCCACCGTGCGGGCCCCTGTGGCCCCGGCTCGTGGCGTCCCCGAGAGACAGGACCCTCAAGAGTTTCCTCTTGTCTTTCCCTGTGTGTGTCACGTAGTCGCCCTGAAGCCTGACCCTCTGAGTGACGCTGTGTGTAAGTACGTGTGACTCGTGGCTGCCAAGGCTCCTGGCCCTCATTTTTCCAAGTCTCCCCCAGTGGCTCTGGAATAAAGGTCTCCCTATAGCCAGCCTGGTCCCCTGTGGCCTCCGGGGCACCATCCAGGTGGTGGCCAGCGGTGCCTCGCCTTATCCACTGTAAGACAAGCCACACTCGTGGGGACCCTGTATCCGTGCACCTCCCCCACACAGGCACCAAACACTTTTGGAGGAGAAGGTGGAGCCCTTGTCACCTCCAGTCTGTGAGGCCAGCAGAGCGTGGGGTGGAGGGAGCAGGAGGCTGGCTGACGGCCCCCCCCAGGTGACATGCACTATGTCTGCATTTATAGGTGGGCAGGGCACTGAGGAGGTGCATAGGAGGGTGGGTGGAAACCGGGGTCAGTTTCTGGTCCTGTGTGTCCTGCCCAGCCCTGCCCCTGAGTCGTCCCTGCTCAGCTTCCTCACAGTCCTGGACACACCAAGTTCCACTTGGCCCTCGGCTTCTCACCAGCCCAGCTGTTCCACAGAGGGGACTTCTAGCTCCTAATGCTTCCTGCCATTTAGCCACCCGAGCCTGCGCAACTGGAAACCCCATCCCCCCCCCCTCGCCCGGTGTCAAGTCTGACCCCAGGAAGCCTGGGGTAATAAAAGATGCCCTACTGTAACTTGTCAACCTGCAGAGCCACTTGTGTGATTGCATGATTTCTGAAGGTGCGAGGCCTCTTGCAAACTGCGCCAAGGCAGCGGCTGTGGGCTTGCGCAAGGAGCAGGGCCAGGCCCCAGGAGGGACCCCCCACCCAGGGGAAGCGCCTGGTCTGGCCTCGGCTTGCTCAGGAGCATTCCTCAGCCCCTCCCCAGGCTAGTTCCAGGTACCAGTGGTAGCAATGGGTAGGGCCTGGCTCCTGCCTGCCCCAGGGCAGGTTGAAGAGACTAACCAGGAGACTGCTTGGCCTCTATGAGAAAGTCATGGTGTGCCCATGTGTCCCTTGTCCAACTCACAGGCCACCAGTGCTCCACAGTGACCACAGGATGGGCTCTGGGTCCTGTGCCCACCTGGAAGTGTCTTGAGGCACCATGCTTCCAGATCAGAGCTGTTCAGCTGTGCTTTGCACGATACTGGGAATGTTCTAGATCCATGTTCTCACCAACAGAGCAACCACTGTTTGAATAGTGACTGGGGGATTTAACACAAGGTTTAAATCTTAATTCACTGAAAGCTGAATAGCCACTTCTGGCCAGTGGCTGGGTAGCTTCAGAAGGTGAAAAAGTATGGCTGCCCCCACCTGAGATGGAGCCCCAGGAGGCCGGGGGATCTGCCCCTCGGGTGCAGCAACCTGTATTCCTGCCTGCTGCACACCCCTCTGTGCCCGACCTGGGCGTGGGGAGGTGCACTGTGAGGCTCCGACCTCAGAGCTCTCAGTGGACACCAGCTGGGTGTCCATGAACTTAATTAAATTCTAACATTACCCACCCGGAGACAGTACCCGCTCCCAGATGCCAACCACAAGCCCCAGATGGATTCACCTGGTCTTCTGACAGGCCCTTTATAAATCAGGATTCCCACCACCCCCTTCTTGGGTTCACCTGATTTTCTAGAGTGGCCCACAAAGCTCATGATACACTTATGTTACCAACTTATCATAAAGGACATCACCAGGGGTGCAGATGAAGATTGGCACAGGTCAAGGCAGAGGAGGAGGGCACAGAGCGCTCCCTGGGGCTGCCCTCCAGGCACTGTCCCCTCCAGCCATCCAGGACCACATGAACACTATTCTTTTGGGTTTTATGGAGCCTTCATTATGTAAGTAGGAGTGATTACATTACGGCCATGGGCGATCAACTCCAACTGCAGCCCCTCTCCCCTCTACAGAGGCTGGGGGCAAGGGTGAAAATCCCAGCCCTCTCATCCTGTCTGTCTTTCCTGTGACCAGCCCCATCTAGGAAATGGTTAGTGGCTGCCAGCCAAAGGACAATTCATTAGCATGCAAACAGCACTTTGAGGATTCCAAGGGTTTTAGGAGTTGTATGCCGGGAACCAGACAAGGCCTAATATCCATGTCACAGTATCATGCCCTTCCACCCCCAGGGCTAAGTCCGGCTCAGTCTCCCATGCCATCTCAGAGTCTGCCCACAGTACCATCCTGAATCAGCACCACCTGGGGCTGGTGTCAGGGGCCCCGGGACAGATGGGACAAGGAGAGGTCAGAGGCAGCAGAGTCTCCTTCCTGGATGTGCCCCCAGGGCCGCCATGCCCTGCAGGCCACCGAACTCAGATCCGAGCTGAGGCAGGGAGAGCAGGGTGGTCCCCCAGCTGGCCTTAGTGTTTGGCTCACAAGTGACACGTGGTGCCTCTAGTCAGAGTCATTGGCCAGAACTGCAGAGGGGTCCAGGAAGCAAGTACGCATGTGTCTGAGAACGGGAGGCCACTGGACCACAGGCTGGCGAGGCTGGTTCCATGGCACGGACGCACAGGACCCACCCCTCTGACTAATCTTCAGGGCTTGGGGGGCTCTTCTTGTGAATTTGAGGACTTTGGAGTCCTCAGCTGCCCTGGCTACTGCCTTCTGCAGGGGACCACCCACGTGGTCCTCTAGGCAGGTCTCCCCCCGCCACAGGAAGATCCATCAGACCCTCCAAGTCCCAGCCACACACAGCGCCCTCCTGGAGGGTTTTCACCCAGAGGCACCGAGTTCTGCACCATGACCTGCTGTGCCCAGCTCAGGAGATGATCTGGGAGGCTGTCTCCCTCCAGACCCCTGAGGAGGGGTCCTGCCTCCCCCAGGAGGTCATGGGCAAGGCTGGATTCCTGGGCTCCAGCTGTGGGACACTCAACACTGTGCCAGTGGGGGTGGCAGTTGGCTGTAATCTAGATGGTAGAGGGCAGTGCTGTCTGTCAGAGAGGCCTGCCCATGGGGTACCGAGGGTGACTTCTGTCACCCTTGGCTCTTGGGACCTCTAGATGAACCTGGCTGCTGAGGACATGGAGCCCCTCCACTGCTCACAGTCATGTCTTGCTGTCGGTCTCACGGCCTTGAACCCAGCGCAAGCCTACCTCCCGGCCTCCCAGGCAGCTGCCCTTTACTTTTTGGGCCTCTCTCTGCCCACGTTTTGATCTCTAAGGAGCTGCCAGGAGCCAGGTCTGCTCCTGGCTGTGGTCTGTCCTCTGCCCCTCTGCTCCCTCCCCTTTCTGGGGTCCCAGGTTGTTGCTACAGAGTGAGCCCATGAATCACACAGTTTATGCACATTATATCATTAAAACTGGGCCACTCCAGAAGCTAGCCCCCTCCGCTCCAATCCCCCCTCCCTGGTTTTGGTGAGCGGCCTCCCCATTCCCTTTGGGCAGGGCTTGGGCTCTGCAGAGACCTAACCGTATGCTGTCGCTGAGCCACAGAGATGACAGGGCATACCAGAGCTTGAAAGCACCTCTGGCAGATGGAAGAGGGAGGAGGTCGTACTTCCTGGGGCACCACCAGAGGTGCCAGGCCCGTGGCTGGACCGTATTTCAGGAACAGTAGAGCAGGAGGTCCAGAGAGCACTCAGGGGCTCACCACTGCTCCCGCCTTCCTGCCACCCCCCAAGTGTCTCTACCACATGCCATGTCACTCCATGGTCACAGTCATCTCTCTGTAGTGCAGACTGACTGAGCTCCTGGGGGAACTATCTGTTTCCTGCTCAAATCCGGGCTCCTTGCAGTCACCGCTTGCCTTGCCTCCCTCTGCAGCCTCTTCTTACCCCCCTCCTCCGGCCCCCTTTGCTTCTTGAGCAGCTTCTTGTCACCTCGCTCCCCAACACTGTGGCTTTGCAAAGCCTCCTCCTGCTGCCTGGAAGGACCAGCTCCTGCTCATCCCTCAATGCCCCGCTGAGTTGCCCTCTTCCTACAAAGACTCTCATGAGCTGACTTCCCTCTCCCACTGTTACATCCAAATATCTCAGAACAGACATAAAGGAGACCTGTCCCTGACCGCCAGGACCGACCGCAAGCCCACAGAGATGGCAAAGCAATAGTCACTGGCAACTCAGGGCCACTCTGCTGGCCTGGAGGGAGGGAGCACAGTGAGAAGCTAGCAGGAGCGAGGCGGGGCGTCTGGGAGGCCTCCAAGGTAACACCAAGTTCCCCTGGAGTGAGTCCAGGGGGGTGAGTGGGGTCAGCCAGCAAGGGGAGGGCCTTCCAGGCAGGGAGGCAGCAGGCCAGCCCAGGCCTGAGGACAGGAAGCTGCATGGCGCATCCAGGAGCCAGGCCAAGATGCCCGTGTGAGTCAA